TTTGCCCCGACTACTAACATAAAAAATTCTTCTATTTGGGCATGTCCTGAACCATAGTACAGGGCCCCAAAGAGGAGTTTTTTCCTGTTGGGGACCGGGGGGAAATGCAATTAATTGTTGTTGTCGTTTAAAACATGGACAATTTATAAATATTTTGCTTTCAATTTAAATTTAAATTTTAAAACATCTTCAGCAGGATATTTTCAGGAACCAGTAACCATGGAAATGAATTCCACGATTACACTGGAGAGCATCTTCAGATTAGATCCTGGAGCTGATCTAACTCAGAAGCAACGATCCGAGCTGTTTGAAGCGATGAAACCAAGATGTCTTATAAAAACATTCCGAGATACTGGTTTCATTGGGCTCGGGTAAGGATACCATCTTTCCCTTATGTTTGTATTACAAAACATATATTTTCTGTCTCATTTAGGCGAGGCGTCAAAAATAAATATACCAGCCAGCGGCAGCTAACTGCACTTGTGCGTCCTGGCTGCATTTTTTTAAATTAGCTCAGCCGGCTACCGATGGCGGTAGGAAATGGCATTCAAAAGCCTGCGCCGGCTGCCGCCTTTCGAATAGAAACCGAGCCTCAGATCCCAGCCTGGCGCAAGCCGGCTGGGCTAATAAGTGAAAAATAATTGCCCCAGCCAGGCTTTGGCCGTAATTGCAGCCTCGATGCGCCAATACGTGAGGCGGCAGCCTGCTGGTGTCGATATTTTTGAAGCCTCGCCTTACTTTATATCCAACATTGCTCTGTGATTCACACATAACTATGCATCTTGGAATAATCAATTTAAAATAGTTTGTATTCCATACTGCATCATAATGTTAAAACAACTAATTTTCAGCCAAACATTCGACTGATCCTTCAATTCTATTTTTTTTTTTTTTGCATCAGATGAACTTTTTGTTTCCATAGCGTTGTGCTTGTATGAAAGTGTGATTATTTCTAATGGTTAAGTATTTTAACTTCTTATCAATGTTTTTTTTTTTTGGTTTAAATCGAAGATGCTGTTTCATTCCCTTGTTCTTATGTATAAAATTATGAATAATCTAACCCCGAGGATTTAAGAAATGAATTTGAGTTGAGAACCCATTCCTACCCTTCCCGAATTGGAGCTCAAATAAAATTACCCAAACCGAGAACAAATTACCTCAAAAGACCATTCAAGTATAGAAACGCAAAGGCCTACAACACACTTCCTCCTCATATCAAATCCTCCCCTTGTATTAATACATTCAAATCTAAGATTGCAGAACTGTTACAGTAGCACATGGTCCCCCCTCCTTATCTTGTTATGATTACTTGTTTTTTATGATTTTTTTGTTTTGTTTCCTTTATTTTATATTACTTTTTTTTTCTTTTTCAAAATGTATTTACTGTTGTTCATGTATGTATTTATGTTCTGTTTTGTTTATGTTATTGTTCCGGACCCCACCGAAGACCAGCTTTCCCATGTCGGGTTAGCTGAATGTGGGCTATCCACCGTATTTTATGCATTTTTACTATGTTTTTATACGGAAATAAATACTACTACAAACTACATGACCATTTGTACATTGTAAACCTTGCGCAATTATTCCCTGGACTACTATCCTGTATTTAAAATAAACCACATTGAAGTGAATTGAATGAGTTGATATACAGTGGCGGATCCAGGATTTTCCAACGGGTGGGAAAAGGGGTTTGTGGCACATGTAAACAAAGGGGATGTCACACTCTTTAAATGTACAGGAGTGGGATTGCACTCTTTCAGGAATCATGTTAGAGAAACCATTCTCAAGAGAGTAACGCAAACCACTCTTTGGAGTAGATTCCATCATAACTTGGAATTGATTCAAATCCAAAACGAAGTGATCTCTAATATTCTAAACTCCCGAGCTGATTTCTACTCCTCTACATTTTTATAGAGCAAATTAAATGAGTTATTAGTCTTGAAATATATCAATTCTGACAAGGAAAAAAAAAGGGAAAAGGCATCAGGTTTGTTTTACTTGGAAGGGGAAGGAATGCCACATGGTCCCCTGGAATCGCCATGATCTTTCACATATTAACTGTGGAGGTGTCGTAGGTAAAGTGGTTCATTCGCTTGACTCTCAATATCAGGATTGAGGGTCCGATTCCAAGCGAGGCAAGACATTAGTCTACATTTGACACCCTTCACCCGGGTGTAAGCACCTGTTAATTGTTGTGGTAATAATAATTGCAGCGCCTTCAGGAAGAAAAGCATTGATGCTGATGAATCCTCCCTTGGTAATATTATTATCGTTAAATATTAAAATCTGCCGTGGCATACAAAGTGTTGTGTACACCCAAGATAGGATTCATTTCCATGATATATGATAACGACATTGCATACTTGTTTTGGTTTAAAGTTATTCAGTTTTGTTTCTATATTCTCAAATGAATCATACACAGTATACGTTAAGCTTATAGCCCCCGCATGACATTTGAGCGGCTTGTGCAAGAATGGGTGTGGTGGTGGGGGGGGGTGGTAGATAGAGCCCAATTAGGGAGTGGAGGGTGAGAGGTCCACTCCGATTGAGAAGAAGAGAGAGGGAGAAAGGAGTAAGAAAGAGAAAGAGAGAGAGAGAGAGAGAGAGGGGGAAGAGAGAGAGGGGGGGATAAATGGCATGCAGATGTAAAACGATTGCCATGAAGATCGAGACTCAAGTTATTACTCATAAATAATGAGAATAATAAGAATTGTATTACTTTTTTTATCGTTTATTCTGAGCCGGGCGAAGCGAGGACCGAACATTCAATCTTTGGCCGTGTCGCTAATAGAAATGTCGCCCTCTTTCACTTGACGGTGGTGTATGGTTTGGAAGATAGAATACATGTTAACGGTTCCCACAGCTAGATACACCCAGGCAACCGGCAACCAGCATTGCACAATCGTTGATGATGGGGATTCCCAAACATGAAGAAAAAAAACGCACTTACGCATGCGCATTTCCCGTGTCTTTGACAACAGACTTTATGTTCGACCCCACGCCAAACAGCTTGATAACGGGCTACATGTACAGACAAACCTATATGACATGTAATTGTATATATGAATATAATAAACAATAATTCATAAAATTGTGTGTGGCAAAATAGTCAATTGTAAAAGAAAGAAGAAGCTGTGTCAAAAGCTCAGCTAAAATTCCAAGCCGTTCATATTTTGGGAAACCAAACAAATCAACAAAATAGCACACTTGTGAAAAATCAATGTTTGACGACTAAACTGCCTAAATGGCTATATAAAACCAAAGCGAATTTAATCAAGGCACCAAACTAAGGCCAAATAACATAAATAAGGTATTTCTTGGCCGGACTTTAAAAGAAAAAAAGAAGGAGGGGGGGGGGGTATTACTATTTACTATTTTGCAATTTTTTTTGCAATTTTTTTCTCGAGATGGCTGCCACGCTCATTATAGCTGGACAAGCCTATTTATTTACATATATTGTGCTATGACGGTGAGTGTACTGGTTCAATGTATGACAAAACAAATGATGTGTATCACTTTAGAAGCTATTTAAACAAAATGTAAATCACAGGCTTTTTTTTTCTTATTCTATTTCTTCTGAATTGTAAATAGTTTTTAAAAAAGGAGGCGGTATCCAAAGAGCAGGCGGACGGGGACGAAAAACACTTCATTTTTGTTGTTTGGCTTTATATTAAAGAGAATTAAACAACAAACCATAAATGAGTTTTAAGCATAATGTAATTGAAGAAAGACTGACAAATTATTTAATAAGTAACATTAATTATAACAACTATAATTGTGAGCTAGCGTAGCGAGCGAGTTCCAGGGAAAATTAAAGAAAAGGGGACTCTAAGTCGCTTTAAATTAAGGTTGCATGTTATGAAGAAAGTAAAAGTAGGCACTTGTCAGAAGGGAAAAGGACAGTTATTAGAAAAGAAAAGGTGACGTCTCAAAGTAAAAAGGGAAATTATCAGAGATGATAATGAGGCCACTTCTTGCACGCAAAAAGGGGCAATGGGAAATGGGGCATCTGTTGAAGGAAAAGGGAACCTATCAGATTTTAATAGTGATATTTATCAGATGTAAAAGGGGCATTTTGAAAAGGGGAAGGGGCTCAAACAAAAAGGTAAATGGGCACTAATCCGAAGGAAATATGTTACTTATTAAAGGGGCATATTAAAGGGGCACGAGTCAAAGTACAATAGGGCTACAAATATTAAAGGTGAAAAGGGGAATTTATCGCACCTGGAAAAAGGCACTTACCAGAAATGAAAAGGGGCACATATGAGAATCATGAAAAGTGGGCACTTATCAGAATGGGAAGGGGGTTATTGGGGTTGAAAAGGGGCATCTATGAGAAGGAAAAGGGTCGCTTATCAGAATGGGAAGGGGGCAAGTATTAAAAAGACAATGGGGCTCTTGTCAAAGTGAAACGTGTACCTGTCAGATTCGAATAGGGTAATTATCAGAGGTGGTACAGGGTACTTCTCGTACCCGTAATGGGGCACTTACCAGAAATGAAAAAGGGCACTTATGAGAATGGAAAAGGAATGCTTATTGCAAAGGAAAAGGGGCACTAAACATAATTTAATAGCCATTTATCAGAGGTGATAGGGACATTTATGAGAACGTGAAGGAATCTTATTTAAAAAATGGGTTGCACTTGTCAAAAGGGAAAGGACACTATAAGAAGGGTTTCCCCATTAGTCTCTTTTCGGTCGCTCATTGTCAAATAAACCGCTTAGAGGCAATTTGCAATTTGCAGTATACAAATATCTTATTATTAGTATATGAATATCATTATCAGACACGAGGCCTTGTTTAAAGACTACCTCTAGCTATGCTTTTGACACATTTATTGTCTGTACCTGTAGCCTGTTTGGGCGTGTCTCATTAAAGGGTTCGAATATATAGAGTCTGCGGGTAAAGACTATTAACGACACAGAAAATGTGCATGCGTATAATTCTGTTCGTTATTTTTGGACAACTGGGATTCCCCATCGACAACAACACTATTGTGAAATGCAGGTTTGTCGTGCATTATCTATCGGGCAGATGTAGTAATACCTGTACATGTACTAGGCCTACAGTATATATAGTAGCTTTGTGTACCAGAAGCATTTTCACGCCATTTCTGGTAACGGATGGATCCGAAGTCTTTCTATCTGTTAATTGATCAATAATGCCTGAAAATCTACATTAATATTGTGCATTCGTTATTTTTGTTCTCGCATCGATTCCTCATCACTGACTGTATCAGATCATGATCATGGAGACAATGCTATTTTGGGGCATCGTGCTTATTGGGTGTTTTTCATCATGCAGCGGATCAGTTTCAAGCACATCGCGATTTTGTGTGATAGAAAATCGAGTGGGGAGCAGTGGGGTTGGAAGCCAACGCATGCTTGCCTTTAGATCAAATACTACAGCTTCTCCAGTTTCCGTGGAAGTGAGCTACGGAGATGTGGACCCCTCCTCGGCCGGGTGGAGCTCGTGGAAGAATCTTGGAGCTCCGATGGCCAGTCCGCCGCTGTCCAACCCTGTGTGTGAAATGACAGAACAAAATCAAACCCAGGTTTGTCTCTTTTATTACCTTTTCGGATTCCATTCATTGAATTATCATTTTCTATCATAAAGCAGTGGACGAAATAAGGGGGAGGGGAGGAGATCATAGAGCTCCTTCTCCTCCCCCATTATTCTCCTCCTCGTTTTTTTTTTTTGCGTCTCCTGCCCTCCTCCCTTTCCCTTTTTTTCTTTTTAATTGACATTAGATCTCTTTTTTCTTGAGAATTTATTTAGTGCTTATAAAAATCATTCACTTGGTGGATTTATTTTGTCCTATATCTTGTGGCTTAATGGATGAGTTTATTCATGATCACTGGCGTACTGGGTTCTGCCCCTATCAGTTTACCAAGCGACCGCCCCATTAATACAATTCAAATGTGGTTTATTTTCTAATTCAATACCAGTGACTTACAAATGTTGCTGAAATGACATGATTTTCCGGGTTTTTTTCTTCTCACTTTCGTGTAAATTATAGTATTATATGCGTTTGGTTGGAAAATGACAATTTCCAAAATTCATGGTCAGGCAAAACCCCCCACAAAAGTGCTCCTCTTTACAAAGAAAATGTGGCCCCTTTTACTTTAGATAAGCAACCCATTTTTTTAAAATTTCAAATAGGTGCCCATTCCACATTCTTATAAGTGCCCCTTTACATATGGTAATTGCCCTATTCAATCAGGGAGGTGCCCATTTTACTTTAACAAGTGCCCTTTTTTATCTTTGAAGAGTGCCCCTTCTCAGCTCTGATAAGTACCCCCTTTTTATTTTGATAAATGCACTCCCCCCCCCCCCCTTTGTAATAAGAGCCACCTTCCCTTTTCATAAATTTATGCCCTTAATCACACCTCTAATTAATACCTCTATTCAAATCTCATAGGTGCCCCTTTTCCTATGACAAGAGCTACTTTTTCTTTGTAGTAAGTGCCCTTTTCTATTTTCACAAGTATCCCTATTCATCTCAGATGAGTGCCTGCCCCTTTTCAGGTACAAGAAGTGCCCCTTACCACCTCTTATAAGTGCCTCTTTAAATCTGAGACGTTTCCCTTATACTCTAAAGTCTTGATCAGGTAATAAAATGCCCTCTTGCTATTATCATTCTAATGTAGATCTTTGTGCAAGCATCCGATGGGCAGGTCTACTCGGCGATTCAAGACACCCTCAATTTTTTGAACTTCTCCTCGTGGAAGAAGGTCGGTTCCAACTCCATCCCGGTCAGCTTACCCAATCGATCCACGCTCGTAGATTCCGTATCTGCAGTCTGGTATGGCAAGCAACTCATGGTTTTTGCTCGTTCGATCAGTACTTCTTCAAGGCTGTATTGGTGTAAAGGTATGTTCGTTGTAAACAGAGGATGGGTAACCTGATAATAAGGCCTTTAAACCAAATTGTTTTATTGCCCTGGCTTTAGGTGCCAGTCCCTGGGTATTTTGGTCGATTTAAAAAAAAAAAACCTATTTTGGCTGATATTTTTACAGTTTTTGATGCTTGAATACATATTTTGTTATTCATTAAACTTTTTTTTCTTCTGAAAAACGGTATACAAAAAACTTTAATAAAAAGCTGACTGTGAGATTTAAAGATTTAGGGGTCGGTCACAGAGGACAATACAACAATTTTCTAAAAGCTTAATGATGATAATGATGATGATGTCATAATGATGATATTGTATTACGGTTGTTATATTGCCCTTTCTATTTGTAACCAAGGGTAGCTACATCAATATTAATACTAATGTTCCTGCAGACCCTGCGATTGTCATTACGCCAGCATTGCCTGGAACACATTTACACCTGGTTGGAGAGTGAGAAATGTGGATTAATGTCTTGCCAAACAACATTAATACCGGGCTGAGATTCAAACCCTCAATCTTTGGATTTAGAGTCAAGTGAATAAACCACAACACCCGATAGATCCCATCTATCAACACAAAAATAAGGCTAGGTGATTGAGCATTTGCTTGTGCAGCCCCAAAACTCTGGAATAACTTACGATTAGAAGTCAGGAAATCACCATCTGTGAATATCTTTAATTAAATAAAAAATGAAAGCACACATTTTCAATTAACTGTAAATCTAAGCATATTAGGAGCTCTTGTAGCACAATAGAATACATACTTAATGTAACTGTGTCAAGTGAAAAATTTAAGACGCCATTGATGCCCGCGGGATGATCATATTAGTATGGACGGCCATATTTTGTGCCGCGGCTCGCTTTATGTCGTTTCCTTCATTCACCGAAATCCCTTTCGTTTTGCATGCAGGGCTTGTGAGTCCTATTTACATGTAGGTCCCTTCAATTAACCCGATTCCAAATTCGTTTGACATTCGTCAAATTCATTTGACAGTTGATTCCGCTCGATTAATGCTATTGTTCGGATTATTAAGCAGAGAGAGATAAAAGTTGACATTCTCATGACTAACGACCTTGCGTTATTATTCTTGTTTGTTCATCGTCTCGTTAATGCTATTGAACAATATTTAATGACACAAGACGGAACTCTGGTACTATTTTCATGAAGCGTCACATGGCAATAACATGGCAGATAAATAATCATCATTACTGGGTCTAATAATGTACACTAAACTGAAAATGAACCTGGGCCATTTTATATATACATTGTATATATCTCTCTCTCTCTCTTGACATTTCCTTCCTTTTCCCCTCGCTTACTTCCTTCTAATGCCTCTGTCACACCTTTCAGTATTTGGCTTGCGTATTGCTGCGAATTAATGGCAAGCTGTTTTAACGTTTATTCCTATTTCTTGATATCAAGAATTCATTTCTTGATATCAAGAAATAAGAATAAATGTTAAAGGCACTGTTTTGTTTTTTTTAATTATGACCAAATAGCTTAATGACCCTTTGACGGCCTGAAACTTTACAAAGATAAAGAATTAGAAATCAGTTACAACTTTTTCTTGTAGCATGGACCTAGGTTAACCTCCCATAGCTTAACGAAAAAATGTCAGCGTTGCTTTATGTGCATGAGGTATCCCTGAACAGCCAATTGTTTACGGAATTTTGTAACAAAATTGACATACCTTTTTGGTTGGAGCCGAAAAAAAAGGGTACATTTTCCGTAAACAATGGAGGCCCTCATTTAACCCACTAGAACAATCATTTAATGAGATTGTTTATGGTTTGAATAAGCTTATTAGTTACTCCAAGTCATTAAATTAAAAGAAAATATAATTTAATTGTAGTAGCGCATATATTATAAATATATTCAAAATTTGAAAAAGTTGTCTTATTTTCCGTAAACAATTTTGTAACTTCCGAAACAACTTTCAATTCGAAGTAGCAGAACATATATGACCTGCAGAACCTATCTTTCGTAACATTTCTTAAATATTTCATGGCGGCTACCCACCAAAAAAGAAAGAAATTTGCAATACATCATTACAATACTATTTTATAGTTAAAACCAATTTTCCGTTAACAGTTGTAACGTCCGAAACAAAAAATACCAAATAAATGATGATAATCCATATTTGAGGGTATCTGGAGTGAATAAATCATTATGAAATAAGTTATTATAAGTCTTAACACAAGTCAAAACACAAATCTCGTCTTTCAAATCCAAAAAATTTGTGTAAACTCAAGAAGGGTGTTTCGGACGTTACACTATTTGATTGTTAAAACATAGTTTGCAAATATCAACTAATTTTCTATCATATCGTCGCTGTTTTCACGAAGTGACGGTAGTGAAAAAAAATTGCATTCACTTTGCGTTACGATTTTCCTCACTACCGTCACTTCGTGAAAACAAGGACGATATGTGCAAGTTACGATTTCACAATGCACACTCCTGTTAAAAACACTATTTTGATCATTTCATTTAGATCTAAATATAAAAATATGAAGAAACATGATGCAAAAAATCAGATTTTCCGTAAAATATCTAAATTTTCTGCAAAATTGACTTATAAAACATAAATAAAACTTTGTGGTGCAAGGGATTCCTGGCTGCTTTAGTATATCCTTAATTGTAATTTATCAGAAACAATCTCAATAAAAATGACTCATAAAATTATTCAGCCATTTTAACAGCACTTTCTGTTATGCTGTAGCACGTTTCGGATGTTACATAAACTGTTAACAGACATTTTCATACTGTAACGAAACCGGTTCCTGTCGATGTTCTTCCCAGCAGTTTATCTTGTCAGGATGCCTCCTGCTAGCAGGTTTTCCCAGTCCGGTATAAATTTCGCCGTGGATCCGTTTGGCAGAGATATACTGCCCCGTTGACGTTGACACCACTCTGATATATTGCTCTGCACCACCTCTCGACCACCGTCCAGTCGACACTACCAGACCGTTTAATACAGGTCTGTACTTCACCACCGTCTACTACCAACCGTTGTACCGTCGTGTACCACCAGCCGACTAGGCCAGTCCGCTTCTGCACCTTTCAGACGTCTATATCAGTCTGCTTGTGCATGCAACTCCAATTGGCCGCACCAGTTTGCTTCATGCACCTTCCAGACGTCGATACCAGTCTGCTTGTGCATGCAACTCCAATTGGCCGCACCAGTTTGCTTCATGCACCTCCAAACAACCAGACCGTCTGTCTTTGTACAGTCAGCTTTAATACTCGACCATGCCACTGGCTCTGCTACACAGTAGTCCCTACCAGCCGTCTTCTCACTGGACCACCGAAAGAGCAACCCCCGGTTTTGTCTTCTACTAGAACGCAAAAGACCCAACAAACACAACCTAGATTCTGACCATGGTCGTCACCTAAGATCAGAAATCAATCTAAGGTTTCCTCATGGAAAGACATGCAAACGATCATATCAATCATTTCGTTTGCACGCAACTTTTATTGGGCAAAATATCCAAACGTAGTCTGATTACTTTACAGTGTAAATGTGCCCAGTGGGCGACGGCAATTATGTAGACTATGACAGGAAGCTCTGTGACACGTGAGAAACTTGATCTATATACACATTTCTTAAGTATTTGTTATTCTCGTTGGTTTCCAATAATTACATAAACATTGGTATAACTTCACTTTCCAATATCAGATCGAAATAAACCATATATCAAATGAAAGCACTAATTTTAATCTATAAAACTAAACAGGAGAAAACCAGTAATTATTCATGGTAGAAAAGTAATTAGACTAAAACCGTCGAAAACATGCACGATCAAACATTACTTGAAATTGACACGTGACTAAAGCATCGTATATTTAACTTGAGTTCCGCCATCTACGCCGAAACATAGCTATCTACGGAATAAAACCAATTTCGTGACACAACTCCCTTCTTTTTCTTAGCTCGGTCCCCGAGCGTTATCTAACAACAATTTACAAACTGGCATATAACACATTTACAGAAAATAACGTCCATGGCATTCGGATATCCTTCCCACCGGAACCAGCGGTTTTAAGTTCATGCAGTACTGACTGAATTGTTAATTCATTTCATTTCATTTTATTTCATTCGTCATATAAAAAACATACATGATTAAAACATTGATATAGGTTTTCCCGCCCAACTTCGTAAACTTAGCATCCGAATTAACGTTACGTTAATTCAAGTTCGTGCGAAATTGAATGACTATGTAGATCAACATTCAAATACCTAATTGCCTCGTTCAATTTGATTTAGGAGCATGCGATTTCATACTCTTGTCACGGAGACGTGCAAAACGAGCGTTCAATTTAGAAAAGCGTGCAAAGAGCATTCAAATTCGCGCCGGACAGTTGGTGGTATGTGTTCGTGCATTCAATTTCGGGAATAGGCATACATATGTGGCATTTGTGCATTGCTTTTCATTTTATGCTTATGTTTTACTTAATATACTTCTGTTTGAATAATTGTATGCAAAGTTTATTTGTAGGAATATCATGCGTATTCATTGGTAGATATCTGTCATTACACAGGTAGCTGTCCCCAGAGGAGGTGCACAATTTGTGACTTCTCTTCTAAGCACAAGCTATAAAACACAGATCCTGGATAGCGGGAGAGTTAAGCTTTAAACATGGACATGATGGAAATAAAATACAATGATGAATAAAGACAAAGATGTCACATGCAAAGAAAGAAAGATAACCTACTCAATCAATATTGGTCAAAACAAACCATTAAAATAACATCCGTAATATAACAAATATAAAGACAAGTATAAAGAAATGCTTCGACAAAAATAAAGATCGAAAGAAAGAAAAAACATTAAATGCAATATAAATGTATCCGACAAATAAGAAGATTGTATAATGTCAAACCATGTTAGAAAAGATCATAGATCAAATAAATGAACATGAAAAAGTAATTTTACGTACAACCATCGAGCCTCAAACAATGATTATGAGGTCTAGTTTTAATTTGAATGACCCGATTGCGAAAGAGTTTGCCCATAGACGAAAATGAAACCGCAATTCGCCAAAGAATTCTCCTCCCACTCAACATTGGCGAAATTGAATGACGCTTATGCGTTTCTAAATTGACTGAACTAAGCTTTAATTTGAATGTGCATGTTTAGAAAATTCAGTGACTCGAAACGAAATTGAATGCACAAAGTTTAAAAATGAAACAGGGGAGCAACGAGTGGAAAAAATTCGCTCAAAAATGAATGCACGTTAATGAAATTGATCGCTACTTTGACGAAATTGGCCGGGAAAACCTATATTTACAGATAAGTAAAGTACATACAAATAACATAACGAAAGACAAACATAAAATACAAATATATATACGAATGAGGAAACAGCAAGAAAGAACATTTAAGTCTTGTGTGGGGCTGGTCCCTAGCGAAAATTTTAACCTATAACACTTAACACCTAACACCTAACACATAACAACTAACACCTAACATCTAACACCTGGTTGCATAATATCAAAACTAATAAAATACTATTCACAAAAACTTAATTGTTTGTATCTTCTTTTAAATGTATTCAGAGTTGGGCTTGATTTAACGTTAGGAGGTAACTCATTCCATAAAATTGGTCCTTTAAAGAAAATTGAATTTTTAGAGACAGAAGTTTTGATAAGTGTTAAATGAAAATGAGATGATTGTCTAGTTATATATGAATGTACTTCAGAATTTAAAAGAAATTTGTTTGATAGACTAGGAGGAATAATACCTTTATGACATAAAAACATAAATATAACAATATTATAGTCATTCAATTCAAATACATTAAAACATTTAAAACGGACAAAAATAGGTTTTGTATGGGCAAGATAATGGGATCCTGAGATAATACGTATTGCCTTCTTTTGTAATTTATATAATCTATTCATACAATAATCATTTGAATTTGCCCAAACAATATTGCAATAATTCAATTGTGATAAAAACATTGCATTGTATATCATTAATAAAATCTTATAAGGGAATTGTTTTAATTTGTATAAAATACCAACTACCTTCGAGAGTTTATTACAAATTGCTTCAATATGAACGTGCCATGACATTTTATAATCAATTTGAATTCCTAGAAAATGTCAATGAACTACAACGCTGTACAACATTTCCATTAATCTTTACTTCAATATTATCAGTTCAAATGTTTTTGTTTGTAAAAATTATATAATTAGTTTTCTTTACATTTAAGATTAATTTATTAATATTCAACCATTGAGAAATGTTTTGAAGCTCATCATTAAATCGTATCACTAATCTATCTACATCGTTATCAGACAAAAATAAACTTGAATCATCGGCATACAATATACATTGTAATATTTGTGAAGCCTAAGTAATATCATTCATGTATACAAGAAATAATAAGGGTCCCAATATCGAGCCTTGAGGCACTCCACATCCAATGGTTTTAAAATCAGATTCAATGTTATTAAAAAGAACATATTGTTTTCGGTTTGTTAAATAGCTTTCAAACCATTTTAACAAAACACCTCGTATTCCATAATTGAACAATTTATCTAAGAGAATTTTATGATCCAACGTATCAAATGCCTTACTAAGATCGAGAAATATTCCTAACATAATTTGTTTATTATCTAAGGCATTTGAAACTTTAAAAAACAAAATCAATTAGTGCAGAGGATGTGGAGTGACCAGCTCTAAAACCATATTGACTATCCGATAATAAATTACAATGGTTCAAAAAATATATATCTATTATAAAAACATTTTTCTAAGATTTTTGAAAATACTGGCAAGACTGATATTGGTCGATAATTACTCATTGTTTCGAATGATCCATTTTTATATACAGGAATAACTTTTGCTATTTTTAACTTTTCCGGAAAAATACCTTGATTCATAGATTCATTAAAAATACGACACAGCGGATAGCATATAATGTGAACAACCCTTTTAACGATGACAATATCAATTTCATCATAACCATTGCTTGATTTGCTTTTCAAGTCACAAACAATATCTATAATTTCTTTAGTTGTAATAGGCTTAAAAAAGGCAGTTACATTATTGCTTTCTAGATATTGCATATGATTATTATTTCCAATTAAAGTATTTTGAACATTATTTCTCAAAGAAGCACCTATATTAACGAAATGATTATTAAACTCTTGAGCAATGCATAAATCATCTGTAATACGTTCATTATTAACTTGAATGTGTTCAATATTTGTATGACGAGTCTTAAATGAATTTCCTATAGCTTTATTTATTAACTTCCACGTTTCTTTCATGTCACATTGCGAGAACTATCAGTGTCAGTTTGAGTTTCAGCATTATTACTAGCAATTTCAGTCCTCTCACTAGCCCATGCAGTCTCCGACGCCATTTTCCTAGATGAATATCGCAAGTCAAGTGGTGAAGGGGACCTTTCGTCGTAATCCAACTCTTCTTCTAGTTCGGGCGTAGATTGTCGGCTAAGTCGAGGGGAAGCTTCCGATCCATCATGATGTGGAGACTCCGGGTTCTTTGGACATGACGATTTCGGTAGGTCTCTTTGGGGTGATTTGGATTTTCGTCGCGATGAGCGGTAACGACGTGGTGACCTCCCTCGAGGTCGGTCCAATCTTGGATCAGCAGGTGGTGGCGACCGCGAGTCCATTATTACAAGACGCCACGATGCATCAGCTTTTTCAGAGGTCCCTGTAATTGGCGTGGAAGTGGGTTTGCATCTTGGCGAATAAACAGGCGTTGAGCTGTGTTTTCCCACGGGAACCACAGCTACATCGTGGGCTCCCTGATGCTGCTCCATCTCAGTCTTTCTACCCGTGCGGTAATCGCATTGGTCGCAACGATACGTCAGGATATGCACTTCCCGCTTGTGTCTCTGCAAAGATCCTTTCTTCTCATAACTGTTGGTACAAGAGTCACGTTGAAAGAAGTGGGTAGTCGTACGTCGGGCATCAACGTCCTTGTTTCCCTGCTTGTCGGGTGGCATGTTTCTGCTTGCACTGGTTTCAATGGGCATCGTCTGGCTGCACATTACTGTGCCCACTTCTTCCAGCGCTGACAAAACCAGTGCCTAAAACGGCTTGCCGTAAATACGCAGCAATACGTAAGCCAAATACGCAAAGGTGTGACTAAGGCATTACCACGGAGTATGTATAATGTGCATGTTTATACCTATATCAAAGCGAAAATACTGATTTCTCTAAAATGATTCTCCGATCTCCCTCCCCTTCTTCCTCATCTTGTTCCTAGTAGTAGTTTGCATAATTTCAAATGATTACTTTCTGTTTTCTAGGACAATCAGGTATATTAAAATGAATCAAGAAATTTTAGAATTGGAAACGTGAAACAAATAGTAAGCATCTAATAACTTCAGATGCTCCTTTTACTATGATTCAAATTCGAGCTATTTCAAATAAAAACTTATTAAGTACTTTGCATTATCTAAAAATCTTGGCTAAAAATGCTGTCAAATGTAACAATGTAACAATGTAACAATGTTCCCGCGCAGTTATAATACGTATTTGCTATGAGGTCATTGTTCTGAACGCCATTGCCACCTTTATCGTTCTTGTATTTTCTTAAAATTGTGCAAGCGTATTCTGGGTGGCCAAACGCAGGTCATCTCGAAGCCGGATTTGAAAATCTGTGAAGGCGGGCATTATTGACCCCATTTTATACTCTGCTTGATTATATTAGTATGGAAGGCCATTTAGGCCACGGCACGCGTCAAGACATGTTCTTCTTTCACCAAATCCGATTTGTTATGCAGTGCTTGTGAGCCCTATCTAGGTCCCTTCCGTTATCCAGATTCCTCACAAACTTCGTAGACATAATCTCTAGCATCCCATCAAGGTCACAGAAATCTTCGTTTTCCAAAATCACTCATGCGTGACCGTCCAGGCGCCATTTTATATTTGCAGGCCATTATTGAAGCCTTTCTTTCGGCCCACCTATCTTCACTGTCCTAGCTAATACAGACTTCTAACAAAATCCTCTGGATAGTCCAAAAGAGGCTCGTTCGTCTGTCACGTAAAAACACCGGCGTCAATGCATGCCAATCGTTCTAAAAGCGATTGCAGTTCTAGTTTCTGTTATTTGTGAAATAAATGTATTTGAATTTGAATTTGAATAGGCACTTCAACCAGCTGTACTTGGGGTCTTGTCGCTGGAACTGCGCTCATTGGAACAGATGCTACACTGATCAAGAATCCTTTCACGGCGAAGTATGAAGGATTCGTGATATCTCCTAAAGGGAAGATGTACCGGACATGGCAGCATGCCAGTGGCAACAGCTTTAAAGCCTGGAAAGCAATGGCTTGTAAGATTTTGTTTATTGTGAATAATTTCCCGGGGGGGGGCAGTCAAATACATTGCTATACACACGCGGGCCCCTATAAACGTTGAAAAGGGTGGTTTCTGGTCGTTAAGGCGGGTGGTGCATTTATGGCGTCAAATAGTCAAAACATCAGGGAGAAGGATGTTTGTTGACTGACTTAATATACAATTAATAAACAGCAGTGAGGGCATATTAAAGTAGGTATTACCCACACAAGGTACCCTTTGAACAGTCTAACATGCCCGAGGCGGTAGCCGAGGGTATTTAATTTGACTGCTTCGAAGGTACCGACTGTGGGTAATTTTAGTAATGTCCGAACACAACGATGTGTATCATTTGTTTTATAAGATAGTGTCTTATTTGTTTCATGACATGATTTTACAAATGACCTGTCATTAATATTTACTAATGACCGGTCATCAGTAAAATTACATGTAAGGCAAAATAAATGCCTGGTCACGTGTACGCTCTTGACAAATCATTTGATTAGGATCCGCTTCATCATCTTATAATAACAACTAATGTTTGCAAAGTGGATTTAAACCCTTAGAGATACTGTTATGCATAGCAGGTGAATTAAATGTACACAAGTTAGAAGCACATTGCTTGAAATAAATTAGTAAATCGGTCTATCTAAAGCCATACTGTGCTATAAGCATTAATGCAAAATCCCCTCTGATGCCATCTCAAGTCAGCTGTAGTAGTATGGTTCCGTTACTCGCTGATTTCCTGGCTGCGCTGTTGGTTCTTTCGTCGAGTCTCTGTCTGCGAACTGCAAGTTAGTTATAAGGTAATTATTTTAGCACGCTGTTGGAAAGTTGACTATGAGGTGGCGTTTTGAAATAAACAGTACGCTAGGGCTGTAAGTTTATCAGTTCAGTATCGCTTTAAACAAGAACGTAAACCCTTTTTTCTTTTCAGCTTCACCTACCTTCTCAGTTGTCTCCAGACCTGTCGCTCAAGTAATGGGCTACAGCATTTATAACGGCAAGATCATGATAGGGGAATCGGAGTGGATAACTACGTGCACAGGTGGGCACATCCTCAAAATTATCCACAAAATCATCTTCATAGTAAACTACTCTAAAAGAAAGCATGATATTTTTTGTACACAACACGTAAGTACTCTTTGGCGATATTCATATCATGGATGATTACGCGCAATTTGTCTTGTCACTTTTTGAAAATGAAGCAGCACCACGTGTTACGTACTGCGCTGTTCTCTGACTTTTTAACGATCAATCCGACCAGCTCATAAAACACAAATACTATACATTTACCTCAAAGTTAACAATTCACTTTCACTTTCTGTTGACTATATAGGATTAGTATTAGAAGCAGATATTTTTTACTTCATTATAGTACCATTTGCAGCAAACATGTTTTAAGATGATGGTTGCAGGCAACGTAGCCAGGCTAGGGGAGTGATAGGGTAGTTATTCCTTATAAAACAAACCGGGAAAAGAAAAGAAAAGAAAAGAAAGGGAAAAAAAAGAGTAAAATAATGTTGTTGAATGAGAAAAGTAAGCAAATTCTCCTCTTACATCTTATTATTACTTTTCTCTCTATTTTATATTTTTCGGTAAAGTTGCTCAGTGAGGCGCTCGTAGATTGTTCCTCTGTGGCAAAACTTTAATTATAAATGATCAGGTCAATTCAGGTCAATATTAATGATGGATCTATATTTTCAAAAAGTGTCGTTCCAATCTTCGCTACTCTAAGGATGTTTTTCTGCTTCAATGTGCCTTGTTGCAAAGCTGGGGGTGGCATGTTTACTGGGACTGCATCTACAGAATGGAACAACATCCCATCTTTCTTCAAAACAGTTAATTCTACAGACCAATTTAAGAAAATATTGAAAACATAATTCTTGAAAATACTGAATGCTAGTAAATATTATTGTTATTATCATTAAATATATTTTCTGTGTGTGATTGCGATAATCAGGTGCGCCCAGGCTGCCTGTGATACAGTGGACAATCCTTGGAGTTACTGCACGTGGGGAGACTGGCATCAGACTGGGGGAAGATTCCATTTGACCAAGGAGGGGTGCAAAACAACTTGGTCATGAGCAGGAATGTACACTTCGGAGTTGAGATCTTTGCGGTCCAAGAAACGAGTGGGCAGTAAGTATATCCAGGGACCTAACATTTCTCATTTAAAGACCGGGATACGACCCATGAGACCAATTTATTTAGCCAAATGTAATTAGCCCTTCAGACATGGATAGACTAGACTTTACGTCAGGCGGCTCATGCCACGAGACGAATGATCTGAAGTTAGCCCAATACACATCTGTTATAATGTGAAGTTCCCCATGAGAAATCATAATTGCCTATCTTCATTTTGAAGATTATGGCAAACTTGGCAGCCCGGGAGAGATACGTCTTGGAACGTCTGGAGAAAGATTCCACAAAACCTGACGGGGGCAGCGTTCATCAATAACCCTTACCTCCGTCTCAACGAAGCTGGATGGTGGATGGCATATGGTCTCAATTACAAAAATCAGGTAATTATTTTGGTTCTAGGACACCTACCCCCTGGACATCCACCCCCGGATAACCAACCATAGTTAACTACCCCCTATGACAACTACCCCCTAGGACAACTACCCCCCCCCCCCCCGGACAACTACACTTCGGACAACTACCCACTGTCTGGGGGTAGTTGTCCAGGGGGTAGTTGTCGGGGGGTAGTTTTCTTAGGGGGTATTTTACTTGGGGTGGTTATCCCGGGGTGGATGTCAGGGGGTAGGTGTCCGGATACGGATTATTTTATCATGCAAGATTGTATAGTGATCATTGGAAATTGACTAACATTGGTTACAAATCATTAGAGTCTGTTCTTGTTACAAGAGATAATGTGATCATGTGAGATATAGGACCACTTGTACGATACTTGCTCTTGTGATAATTGCTCTGCGTCAATTTCTTATGCTAAGCAAATTCATAATTTTAATCCTGGACCCAATACCTAACCCTAATTAGAACCCTAAAGTCCAATTGCAATCCAGTGGCGGATCCAGGGGGGGGGGGGGCCCGGGCCGAAAAAAATCATGCAAAATCACGCGATTTTTACCTTTTTGGGGGGTGCAAATTTTAAAATTTTCGAGGACCCCCCCCCCCCCCCCCCCAAAAAAAAAAAAAATGTGCTCACTACCCCCCCCCCCCCTCCCCCCCCCCCCCCCCCTGAGCGACTTTTCGGCTGTCTCAGTAGTTGCGATTTTTTTTTGGACTCCAGAAAAAAAAAAGTGTCCGCTTATCCCCCCCCCCCCCCCCCCCCCCCCCCCCCCCCCCCCCCCCCCCCCACTGAGCGACTTTTCGGCCGGCGCGATTTCCAAATTTTCGGGAGCAGAAAAAAAAAAGTTGGGCCCCCTTCCCTAAGAAATCCTGGATCCGCGCCTGTTGCAACTTATCCCTTACCCTAAACCTTTGACGAAATAAAAAGGCTGGAGGGATTGTTGCAGGAGCACTTGTCAGGTCACGAATCACACAATCTATAAGATGAGAGCTGTTCGAAATCGCTGTTGGTCTACCCAACAGAGGGCCATGTGATAATCTACAGTGTATCTCTGAGATGCATCTTGGCTCGTTGTATGACAACATTCTTAAAAATCTTAGAGTGAATGAAAAATGAAATCTTAATTGGAGGTAAATGAAGCTGATACCTTCAAACCTTTTTGAGAGTTTCTTTCCTCGATCTTTGAATTCATTCTGACCATGCATTCCTTGCAGGTTGTTCCGGTTGAGGCTTCACATTCCATGGACATCAGTCCAAAGAAGGTAGCCTGGTCCAAGAACCTGGTCGTGTCCTGGACCATCTCTAGCGACCAGGCTTCAAAAATGGACTGGATCGGTGTCTACCCCAAGGGAGCAAACGACGATCAGTACCTAGACTACAGGTAGGTATGAAAGCTCTAACCAGACGATTAGTTTGTTGGCACATAACCTTGTTCTTTGCTGAACATAGCAGTGTCTGCACTGTGAGACTATGCTAGCAGGATACTGCCTATATAGGCTCTGTGATTTAGCTTCTCCGGCCGAGGCCAGAGACTGACAGAGCAAGGCTCTGCTCAAGGCAAATTGTGTGTGTGATGTCCTAGAGGGCAACTTATAAAACATCCATCTTGATTTTTTTTTCTCATTCCTGGAGTTTTTTCCATTTTTTACAAATTTGTCCTAATGAACTGGTTTCACTGTTTTGGGGGTTTTCCCTTTTTTTATTGAGTCTTCCTCTTTTCTGGAGCTGTCTTTATATACATGTTCGCTTTTCTTCCGTTTTCCACTTTTCTTGTGTGGTCTTTTTATACAGGTTTTACTATTTGCGAGTTTTCAACTTTTCTTGAGTGGTCTTTATAAAACAAGTTTCTATATTCTGCAGGTATGTCCAGGGTGGCCTGAATCCTGGAAAGAACCCAGTATGCATAGGAAAGGTGTCTATGTCCTCCTTCGTTCCCAACGGGACTTATCAGGTTCGCTACCTGGTGAACAGTCAGTTCATCAGCCTTATGGAAATGGGTACGTTAAATGCTCGTTCAGATACGAGGCTATTCCCCATATTTTTTGTTTATGACATTGCAAGATTTTCTTTTTCTTGGACACACATGTTTAAAGAATTCCCCTATATTAACATGATGTAAAAATACATAATGACGATCATGCACCAATTTCATGTGGATTCAACAGTGTTTTACATACCCACATTTGTTAAATATATGTACAAGACGGATAGAAAAAAGTGGGGGATGACGTTACCATCTCACTAACTTTTATAAAGCATTCGTACATTTGTCTTTTTAAACAAGCCACAAGAACATAACACATTACATGTCCATTTCCACATTCTACCCAAACTATACTTGTCTTGATTAGATGTGACCTTCTACAACGAATCCCGCGAGTCAGATATGTTGCAGCTTTTCCGAGGTATATACACCGGTCTGGAGGCTAGTACGGATAACATTGATGCATGTATAAATGAGGGTCTACAGACCATACAGATGTTTGAGGAGTGTTTCCATGAGTTCAAGATGGGAGAGGTAATTACTAACGACTGTTCACTCAGTTTTGGGGTATGTATGTATTCCTAAAAAAATGACACGAAGTTTATCAACTTTCGGTAAGGCGTTTTGATTCTACGGTTATGTCTGTGAAGCGATGTTGTTTTAAAGATTTCCATCTTTTTGCAACGAGACCCTTTCACACCGAGCCATACGTAGAGTTGCGTAGTATTGTGAATCGACTACGCCGAGCGTACGCTGCACAGTGGGCCAGGGAGGAACCAAAGTGCGCCAAAACTCATGTTTGGGATTTTTTTTTTTTTTATAAATCTGGAGGAAATGTTTGGATTTCCAGGGATTTTCGCCTAAATTTTATTACCAACGTTTTCTCGGATGTCTAAGCTTTAAGTTGATACCAGATTTGGCTGCCCGATTCTGCCCGTTATTATGTTAGAGCCGTTTTCCTTGCAACTTTGCCCCGAAAAATGTGTTTATTTTGGTCCGCGGTGTCAGAACAAGTGTCATGCGCCCCCTCGCGCCGTGATTTATGACCACGAATCCTTCATGATTCAGCCGCGGACCCCAAAAACCCACATTTTTCGGGGCAATGTGGCAAGGGAAATCGGCTCTAACATAACAACAGGCACGATCGGGCAGCCAAATTTGGTATCAACTTGAAGCTTAGACATCAGAAAAAATGGTGGTATTAAAATCTAAGCGGTACATTGCGGAGATCTAAACATTTCTTCTGGATTTATAAAAAACATGGATAATTAGTCCATTTTCAGTGAATTACCCTATAATATATCATGAAGATTGTGTTTCTATTAATTTTAACCCATTCATCCAACGAAATGAACTATCAGGAATATGTGAGAGCAATTTCATATCAATAACTTAAAAACTTCATGTTGAATTGAAAGATTTATAAAATAAGTCGCTTTTGCACTAAAACTGTGACTATGTAGGATTTTGCTGTTTTAAGTGGTAAATTTATACCCTTATTGTGCATACCGGAATTAAATATTGCACTGGGGTATTCCTCTATGTATTACCTTTCAACTGGGCAAGAAAAAAATTGAAAAAATAAATCACCCAAACTTAGTTTTGGCGCACTTAGGTTCCTCCCTGGCCCACTGTGCGCTGGCCTACGCTGGCATACGTAACTATACGCTGAGGGACGCAAAAGGGTACGCGAGATGGACGCAACAAATTAAACATGTTTAATTTTTTCGCGTACTTTTGGCGTAGACGCTAGAGGCAGAAAGTACCCATTTTTACGCAATGTTCGCCATGCCTACATAATAGTACGCTACCCTGCGCCAGTCCGACGAATCATTAAAAGCGTATAAAGGCGTCCAAGATCGTAAATGCGCACCTACGTACCCTTAACGCCAGACCTACGTACATGTACGCCAGCCTACGCATAACCTACGCAGGAAATACGCCAAAGCAACATTTTGCATTAATACGTAGCCACGGCGTACTCGGTACGCAACACTTCGCAACTCTACGCAGATCCAGTGTGAGAGGGGCTTTAAGCAGCAAGAAATGTTTGCATGACGGCTGAATTCCCATACATCCAGCTGTGTGGTTGAAGAGAGTCGTCATTGTTTTATTTTTTTTGTTTATATTATTATCATTGTTTTTTATGTTGTTAGTATGTTTATACAAATTATGTATATTTTTTTTTTCTTATGTTCATTCCTCTTTTTTCCTAGGTATTCCAAGGTCTACAACTCCTCGGCACAGCCCTTGAAGATGTTGCCCAGACCCTGACAAAATGTGATCTATTTTCGATCGCTAAGAAACTCCTAGGCTATATCACAGATCTCCTGGAGTGTATGGAGGGTAATTGTCTTAGTTTCGTCTTCGACTTTATCATGGAGCTCCGGATCCTGTTTTTGAATAGGTATGAGATCTACGGGGATATCAGGGGTGCCGCGAATAGCTTTCAGCAAAAGGCTTATCAGCAAGGAGGGCTGTGTATCGGAAGATTTGTCAAGGCTTGCTTTCTGGTACAGGACTCCCTGATGGCCAATGGTAGTTTGGAGTATGTTAAACTGAAGGGGGTTGTGAAGATGACTGGGAACAGTATGAGTATGAATGCTTTGAAGCTTAATGCCACCGGTAGTACTAAGAATATGAAGCTGGTCGAATCCGGTAGTAAGATGGGGGTGAAGCTGATTGAAACTGGTAAAAAGAAGGGGTAAATTGATTGAAAGTGGCAGAAAGGAAGGAGTCATTGTCAGGCCTCTCATAAGATGAAAATGAGTTTATGTTTTTTTTTTCGGGAGGGGGGGGGGTGAGGGAGTATTACAAGGTTCGGCCTTTGGTCCATTGCTTTTTATATCAGTATCATTAGTTATATGACACATGTTTGTGTAATAGTGTACTTTATGGAAGTGATCATAGAAGTAAATGTAAAACCATGTGTTGTGATAGTTTGCTATGAAATGCTGTGTGCCGTAAGTGTCCTACTGCAACGTTGTCTTTCGTGTTTCTGTATAAAGCAATATGTATGTCAGACTCCTAGAATGTATTGCAAGCAAGGATGTACGTTTTTAGAGGAATGAGGTGCAGAATAAAGCCATTTGCTTGTGTCCTCACATGTATTACAGTCTAGAGTATCAATTGGATGTGGGGCGGGGTAGTTGATTTCCCTCACTTATTTTGATATTTTTGTAACTTTGCGTCCAATAGAGCAACAACAAAATTGTTATCATATCATGTGGTAGAAAAGAGGGAGTAAATTGATAGACACTGTCACACTGGTATAAAGAACTTGGTGAATCTGATTGAAACTCGTAGTAAGGAGAGGCTGAATGTGATTGAAACTGGTAGAAAGCAGGGGTAAATTAATTCTTATAACGCAACGAAAACCTTTCATGTAGTAAGACTTATTTACTCGGTATTTAAATAACATGTGCCTTTTTTGTTAGCCGCACACCAATTATTCCTCTATCCCTCTCTATCTGTCTCTCTGTTTCCTGAAGCAAGTCATTTTTTGTTATTTTTTGCCACTGAATTTCTGTTGTTTTTTGCCTGTTTATATTATCATATTTTGTTGTGGCTGTACTCATAAGTTATAGAGCTGCATGCACTTCAAGCGCAAACTTACGCTGCAGCTCTTTTGCATTTGCTATGTCAATCTTTCCCACCATTTTTTGGGCATAAATTGTGTTATTCATTGTGATTTAAAGAAGAAAAAAGTACTATTAAAATGTTCATATTGTAACTGATTATTATTGTATGAAAAATGCAGAAATCAATAAATCAAATCAAGGAAAGGGGTGAATCTGATTGAAAGAGGTAGAGAGGAGGGTGAATCTAATTAAAAGTGATAGTAATTAAGGAGGGGTTGAATCTGACTGACACTGGTAGAAAGGAGGGGTGAAGTTGGTTGATACTGATTCTTAATCATGTGGTTGCCCCCCACGTCCTCCCCTCCTTCCTTGTCCAAATAGAATTATAAGTGCCACTGATCACAATACATCTTCTGTATAGTTCGTGTAAGGTAAACCTATGTTAAAGTACTATTTTCTTACATTTTAAATACTGTGCCTGAGGTATGTCTCTATCTTAAAAGGTCTTTCGCTTTATCAGTGTTTCTGTTTTGCAAAGCTTTCAATTTTATTTTAATATTGCACTTTTATTAAAAAAATATATACTCAATCGCATTATATGAGTACATACCTGGTAACCCGGGTATGTAGTAGAGAATGTTTGTTTTGTTATATCATGTATTGTTCTGGATATAACAATACTCTCTCTGATGATGTTATTCCTTGATGAATTAGAATAAAGATTAATAATTACGCTTATAAAGTCATGCTTGGTGTGTGTTTTTTTCTTTTCGTTCACAAGAATTCCTCATTTTGGGTAGCAATTTTTATTCTTTCGTACTTCTTGTTCTCTTTCCCCTTTCATTCTTTCAGTATTTTTGTTTTGCTTTCAATTTTTTTTTTTTTTACATAATTAACTTTTATAAAATAAATTCAATTGCACTAAATGATTAAATACCTGTTATGTAGTAAAGAATGTCAATGTATGCCTTTTATATTTTGTATTTCTCTGGCTATTTTGGAAATCATGACTTGTGTTCGTAGAGATAACAGAACTAGAATAAAGAGAATAAATATTTGCGCTTTTAAAGTAATGCTTTGTCGGTGTGCTTTTTTCGTTCACAAGAGTTCCTCATTTTTGGTAGCAAAATTTCTTTCATTCTTATTTGTTTTTCTTTCCTGCTCCTCCTCCTACAGCTCCCGCTCCTTCTTCCCCTTAAATTATATTTGTATCGATAAGATAGAACTCACTGTAATCATGGTTATTATGCTATTCCTAGATGACACAATCATCATCTTCTTCTTCTTCCTATTTTTTTCCTTTTCTTCTTCTTCTTTCATGAAAATAACTTGTTTTCAAAAGTCTTATGTTCTGACCATACCCTGGCACCTATTTATAGGCGCCGGAAGCGAGGGAGGGGGGGGGGGGGTGGGGGCGGACGCCCCCAATCGAAAAAGTAGTAAAGAAGTAAAAATGGTTAGTGTTTTATAACCAAAAAGAAAAATAAGAAATAATTAAATGAATTGAATCACATACAAATTATATTTCATTCAAAGAAAAGGAGAGTAGGCAGGAATATCGTGGAAATATTGTGAGAGGGTGGGAAATCGTGTTTTTTTTTTATTATAGGGGCGAGAAGACATGAGCCCCTGAACGCTGGCGTACTGATGGGGGGGGGGGGTATTTCTACCAGTGGTTTACAAATGTTGCTGAAATGACATGATTTTCCGGGATTAAAAACAAATTATTTTGTAAAATATTCTTTTCATGCGTTTGTTGGAAAATTCCCTAATTGACAGTCAGGCAAAAAATATGCTTTTTAGAACCGTCATGTCAGGACCTTCGTAACGGCGGGGTTCGGAGGCTCAAGTCCCCCTCAAGTTCCTGAAAAATTATGTTAACTACAGAGAAAAGACTGAAAGAGAGAAAGAAATGAGGTATCAAAATATATGCTCATCTGACCGTAATTAAGTGTCTAAACCCCCTGAGCTTCATGGGGCTCAGCCCCTGGACCCCCGCCAATTAGTGACATGTCACAAATAAGGCCTGCCTGGAGAGGGGGAATATGAGAAATTCATAATAAATGTTTCTTCGACTGGTCTGTGTGTTTGTCGTATCCCCTCCCCATTTTAAGTTTAAAATAGACCGATGTTTACTTTAGAAGATACATAAGTTTCGTGGGCATATTAACTTGGTCCAGCTGGGTGAAATGGCCTGTTCATCTGCAGATATTCTTCAAACTGGTGATTGCTGTTTTGAGAGTAGGACGTTTTCAGAATATGACCAAATGTATGCTTAAAGGGATCCAGTAACTTTGTCTCAGATTCTGAAACAAATCCTGGATTTACCTCATGCTACAATGATAATTATAACGCTTTAGGTCAGTCAGGAACCCCATGACTTTTACAAGCCGATCGCCTGTCTGATTATCAAGATATTTATGATTGGAATAACAAATTTTGAAAACCGTTTGTTAAACGGTTTTCATAACACTATAGTCTATTGTGGAAAACGAGTATGGTTAAACCGGTCATTCAAAGATTTTTACATTTTTGAGGCTCTTCTTGATCATTTTGAAGCGCAATCTTTTAGGGCTTTACTGTGAGGTGGTCGAGAACTCGAAATCAATGACAGACAGATCCTGTGAGAGGGCCAAGCAAAGAGTCTTTATTAGTAGTAACCAGTAACAGACACATTACATATCACTAATGCCGATAATCATGGAGATCATGCATTCCCCAAAACATGTCATGTTATCAAATATTAAACGAGTAAATTTGCCCTTTAAAAACCAATTGCCACAGTACAATGTAGCTGAAACTCTCAACATTAACACTTAAAAAACTAGAACAGTCAATATAAACCTCGTATAAAGCAATACATTCACATATTTGGATAAACCAACACACCAAGCTAGGTTTAATAACCTTATCATGTCACCTCAATATCACTACTTAATTCTTGTTCAATAAACTATACCTTTAACTTGTACATTGTAATATTAAGACAATGCAAATATCCTAATAACATAAACTTAAATAGGGCTATCCTGGTTCCCCCTTGTCACGGTAAGCACATATTAGAGAATGAATAATGAAACTAACAATATATCATAATAATGGAACAAAGACAAAATATCGCTGCTTTTAAATATCAGAATATCCCAAGACCTGAAACATTGATAAATCCTGGAAACTATAAATCTCCTTATATCTGCATCAAATACAACTTCCATCAACCAATCCAATTCAAATATGTATCTTCCATAATTGTCTTGCTTCCAAACAAACTCCAATAATCTCCTGGTCTAACCCTAAACATTGCTCTTACTCCTATTATTCCATCTCAATTTAACATGTAACAATATTCTTTTATAGCAATCTGCAAAATGAGAAATAAGGTTTACAATGATAGAGGGCGCTAGAAACCCTCAAATGGCTACATAGTCAGACAAAGTTCGATCATCACTGTTTGAAGTGCCATAATTAATACCCCCTAGCTTAGCAACCAAAATACAAACAACATGCAATACTTTTAAACACTCAACTTCTATTATAAGCAATTCTTTTCTATGCTCCCTACCGTTCTTACTGACCTCATTCCTAAACCAAGACTTATACTCATCACATCAATTAGAGCGTACCCTGGTCCTGGTCCTGGCCCTGGGACCAGGCACAACATTAGCGCGCACGCACTACACCCAATTTTGGTACCGCGCGTTCAACTTATTAGTGTACATAACCATGTACTACAATGTAAATGCATATAACAAATCAAAGCGCTAAGCATCACACAGTTTAACATTAAATCCTCGTTTCCAATATAATCATATCAACCCACATGATACATCAAAATAACTACTGAAATCGTTTTGACACAATACACATATGTACATAACAAATCTCTAGCATAACAATATTAATATTTACTAAACATAACAGTGGTTCAAGTTTGGTCAACTCACCTGTGAGAGGGCCAAGCAAAGAGTGCCGGCTTGTCTTAGCACTCCGCCCTCTACAGGTCACAGGGTATTTTCCTAACCCTTTACAATACCATATCACGTACAGACACTCATAGGGCCGTGTATCTCAGATTTAACATTGTTAAACGATGCCTTTAAAGACCCTATCCGATGAAAATACAACTTGATGTAAATTGAAAAATGAATGAATTTAGAAAACAAATGTAAAGGAGTAAATAGTATTGAAATCAAATCAAATCAAATCAAATTAAAACCTCATGTTTTGCCTCCCCCTCCAAATTACGGGTCAACAGGGGTCAAGTTTCCCGAAGCTACAGTGACGAGATAACATTTGGACGGTGGACCCAGGGACGTGATAGAGAAGCCGCTCTCCTTTGACCCTAAATACTAAGTAGTAAATTTTAAATCTGGTAACTTCTTGGTTTGATGCACTATTCCCAATACAATCCACATAAAAGTTTTTGATTTACACTGAAATTTTGCCGATAATTTAATATTTTGTAATAAATGTAAAACTGGTGCCTGGCTTCCTTAAGTCCCCGCAGTGGAAGCGCGGTTCGGAGCACGGAACTTCAAAGCCAAGTGGAATGTTACACATCCCATTGTTACGCTTTAGAACTCACGATTGCGTTTGAATAAATTACAAGAGTTTCGCCTCCTTTCTTTCACCTCCCTGGTGGACCCGACCGGTTCACCCAGGCGCGTACGCAGGGGGTTGAGTTTCTTTTATGTGTATGTCTTTTGTATGTTTTTGGCGAAAATTATTATTATTATGCCAATGGCTGACCTAAAAAAAATGACTTTAGCCCCCCCCCCCCCCCCCCCCCCCCCACGGAACAAATGTAAAATTTTCAAATTTCAAGACCAAAAAAAAAAGTGTGTCCCCCCCCCCCCCCCCCCTTCCCCCTGCGTACGCCACTGGGTTCACCTATAGTTGAGGCGATGAACAGTGCTTAATTAATGCCATTTTAGAGTGGAAAAATATTTTTAAAAGGGCCTCCTCCTTCCTATTTTTCAAAAAATCAGGATGCGAAACATGTCTCTCTTTTAAATATCCTAAAGGCTAATACAAACCTACCTCTACTCCCACCCTGCCCCTGCATAGTAACATTTTGTTACTACTACCATCCTACCACTATAACAAGCCGGGGATTCCCCGCATTGTATGTACGATCGGTGGGAATGAACTTCGTACCTAACATACGGCGCTGTCCTTGGTGTTATGAACTATTGTATGAGCGCAATGCAGCCCTGCCTATTTATAGGCTACACCTATTGGTTTCGTTAATCGTTATAATATTCACATGGCAGGACACTGACTGAGAAGGGTCATATCGCGGTACGTACAATTATTACGTTTATATTGATGTGCAAAGTGGGATTCATTTTTAACACCGTCTTAATATATCTTTTGTTGTTGTTGTTAATATCGGTTATACAATTATTGTCTAAATAGAATAAGGAATATCAATTGTTGTTGCAGTCTGCAGGGATTCACTCTACCTCCATCTCAGAGATTGCTCTAGAGTCTAGGATTATTAGAAAGGTGCAGGCGGAGGGGAGGGGGAGGGGGGGGGGGGGTAGATGTTTGAAACGGTTCTAGGGGAGTCGGGCTAACTCGGACCAAAGACAACTCGGCCCAGCTGCAAAGACGGTCAGTTTTTGCAGGTGTAGGGCAAGATTTAGGGTTAGAGTTAGTTTTAGGTTTAGGGCTAGGGTTAGGGTTAGGGTTAGGGTAAAATGAGTTAGCCCGTATTCGTCCGGGGGTAGTTTACCTAGGGATAGTTGTCCAGGGGGTAGTTGTCCGGGGCTAGTTGTCCTGGGGGTAGTCGTCCCAAACGGTGGTTGCCTATAGGGGGTAGTTGTCCAACGAGGTAGTTGTCCTAGGGGGTAGTTGACTGGGGGTAGTCGTCCCAAACGGTGGTTGCCCTAGGGGGTAGTTGTCCAATGAGGTAGTTGTCCTAGGGGGTAGTTGACTGGGGGTGGTTATCCGGGGTGGATACCCCGGGGTAGGTGTCATGGGACGACTACCCCCTAGGGCAACTAGCCCCGGAAAACTACCCCCTGGACAACTACCCCAAGGTCAACTACCCTCGGGACAACTATCCTAGGGGTCCTAGGGGGTAGTTGACTGGGGGTGGTTATCCGGGGATGGATGTCCAGGGGGGTAGGTGTCCGGTTACGGTTTGAAACGACGAAATTCCACAACTGCTTGGAAACCTAGCGTGTGTATTGTAGAGACCGACTTCGGAGTGGGGTAGCCCCTTCCCCCAATAGATCCGCCTATGCATTGATAAAGGCTAGATAAAATATTCTGTATTGGATACACGCGATGGATAAGCCAGTTCATAGATACAATCTGCGCATGGGCAGGAAAAGGTCATTTGTACCAAAAGGGTAAAACTCACAGAGATGAATACTGGATATGCGCTCATGAAAGTTATGTAACATTATTCATTTATACACCAACGGTACATTCTATGATACGCAGGTGGAAGTATTATTTTCAAGAGGACAAACAAAAGGTATTCATGAAGCACATCTAGGACTTTGGCAGTTATTATTCTAAGATGCTCAAAGTGGAACTTCTCCATGAGTAAAAGATCTGTGGATATTTGGGGTCATTTGTATTGTCGTTGAAAACATGGAAAGTTATAAATACTTTGCTTTCAATTTCAATTTCAATTTTGAAATACCTTCAGCTGGATATATTCAGGAACCAGTAACCATGGGAACCAATTCCAAGCTAATACTTGACAGTATCTTCAGATTGGATCATGGAACTGATCTAACTCAGAAGCAACGAACCGAACTATTTAAAGCGATGACACCAATACGTCTGGTAGAAGCATTCCGAGATACTAGTTTCATTGGGCTCGGGTAAGGATACTTTAACTGACCATCTTTCCTCCATGTTGTATTACAAAACATATAGTTTCATTATAACACTATATTCCACTATTCCACTATAACATGGAATCAGAGGCGGCTCTCCCAAGGGGGGGGGGGGGGAGACGGGGGGGCACAGCGCCCCCCTCTTTTTCAATCACAAGAAAAGTGCCCCTTTTTACATAGGAAAAGTGCTCCTTTAACTTGTTAAGAAGTGCCCTTTTTTCATAGGAATAGTGCCCCTTTTACTTTGACAAGTGCCCCTATTAATTTGTAAAAGTGCCTCTTCCCACTTTCAACTCTAATAAGTACCCCTTTTTTGGACACGTGCCCCCTTTCCTTCGACATGTTCCCATTTTCCTTTGCAATAAGTGTCCATTTTCCATTCTCATAAGTGCCCTTTTTAATTTCTAGTAAATGCCCCTAATTAGGTACGAATAGTGCCTCTTTTCACTTTTGATAAGTGCCCCCTTCACCTCTGATAATTGTTCTATTTTAATCTGAGAGGTGCCTCTTTTACTTTGACAAGTGCCCCTTTTACTTTGTCAGAAGTGCCCCTTCCCCTGTTAATAACTACCTCTATTTAAACTCGGATAAGCGCATTTTATATTTTCACATTTTCCCTTTTTCCTTTCTAATAAGTGCCCCTTATCTTAATGAAAAGTGACCCATTAAAAAAAGGAGCCCCTTCCCCTTCTCATAAGTGCCGCTTCTTTGATAAATGACCCTTTTCAGGTACGAGAAGTTACTCCTTTTCACTTCAGATAAGTGCCCCCTTCACCTCCAAAAAATGCCCCCTTAAAATATGTCCGGTGCCCATTTTCTTTCAACTAATTTTTGTTAATTACAAGTGCCCCTTTTTCATTCACATAAGTGCCCCTTTTCATATCTGGTCATTGGCCCTTTTCATGTGCAATAAGTGCTTCTTTTCACCTCTGATAGTTTCCCTTTTAACAATGATACGTGCCCCTTTTCCTTTCTAATAAGGGACCTTTCCCCTTTTCATGAATGCCCCTTTTCACTTCTTATAAATGCCGCTATCAAGATCTGATTGAGGCCCCTTTTCCGTCGACAAATGCCCATTTACTATTCTCATGACTCACTTTTTTCATCCCTGGTGAGTGCCTCCTTTCGGGGGTGTAAGAAGTGCCCCATTTTCACCTCTGATATGTACTCTTTGTACTTTGGCACATGCTCCTTTTCTTTCATAATAAGTGTCCCCTTTTCCTCTCATCATTAAAGGCGTCCTAGCTAATTCCAAGCGAATAAGAGCAATTTCCCCCAAAGTTCGCTCGCACGCATTTATAGATGATAAACTTATTTTACTTAATTATCAAAGGTCTTTTCAGTCTTCTGTTATAAGAATGTGCTGATAACCCCATTAGGATTTGTTTTTTCCTCTTTATAAGATGTAATTTATCGCACTGCGACCTCACACCTCTTCGATATTTTCCTCGCTCGCAGATAATTTTGTAGACAATCAAACCCAACTGCAAAGCATGATGCTTAAGCAATATCTTGTATGGTGTAAAAAGTGAAACAAATATTTAAATCATCCCTAATAATTGTAATCACAATGTAGGGGTATATACCAATACCAACAAAATTGTATATTTTCGCTTTGAGATTTCCCTTTGTAGGTGCCCTTTTTTCCAGAAAGTGCCCTTTTTCTTGGTGCCCCCCCCCCTCCACTTTGGAAGTCGCTCGGCCGCCCCTTCTTGTAATTGATTCAAATTCAAAACAAAGTGATATCTAATATTCGAAACTCCCGAGTTGATTTCTACTCCTCTACCTTTTAATAAAGCATTTTCAATGAGTTAATAGTCTTGAAATATATAAATTCTAACAAGGAAAAAAAGGAAAAGGCATCAGGTTTTTTTTATTTGGAAGGGGAAGGGGTGCCACATGGTCCCTCTGGAATCGACATAACCTTTCACATATCAACTGTGCATGGTGGTGTCGTGGTATTGCAGTTCATTCACTTGACTCTTAATATAAGGATTGAGGGTTCGAATCCCAGCCAGGCACCAACATCTTTTGGCAAGACATTAATCTATATTTGACACCCTTCACCCAGGTGTAAGTGGGTACCTGTTAATTGTTGGGGGTAATGATGATTGCAACGCCTTCAGGAAAAACAGCACTGACGCTTATGAATCCTCCCTTGGTAATATCATTATCAAAGCTTGCCGTGGCATAGAAAATGTTGTCTATACCCCAGAGAGGATTCATATCGATGATATATGATAACGACATTGCATACTTGTACTAGTTTAAAGTTATTCAGTTTTGTTTGAATATTGTCAAATGAATCTTACACAGTATACGTTTAGATTATAGCCCCCGCATGGCTTTTACAAACCAAAAGTATATATGCCACATCATTTTTATCTAGGTCTTTCTCTATATTAATCGAAGTATTGTTTTCTACATTTATATTTTATTTGAAGAGACCAATATGCGGCTTTGCAAATGGACTCACTGAAGGAAACCTTTTTCCTTCTCAAAGGCAACATTAAGCTCTTAGAACAGGTATGTGTCAATACTTTAGTTTGTAATATTCATGTATACCGAACTCGCAATTATATTTTAGTTTATTATTGCAAACTTCTTCTTCTTTGGTTAACATTTAATGTTATGCATAAAATAACTCTTGATTCATTGTGATCGCATGACTTTGTTAAAGTCGAGCATATAGTCATTTGTGTTTGAATGAGTTTAGTTAACATTTCTGAAATAAAAAAATCTGATCACTTGCTGAAATCAATGTGTTAAATCTCCCATGTCAAATCGGCAATTCGGTCAAGATTTGTGATGCTACAACTTTCCAATTCGCCGCGTACAAATATTATTTAAACATTTTTCCCACTTTAATAAAAGGACAGACTTTTTCCTTCAAACATAACAAATTAAGTTTCATTATTACATTGAGAAAGTGGTAAATTTGAATGATTTAAATACGATGGAGATTTTGAGTTAAAACATACATTACCGCATTTATATTTATATATTATGGTTCTAGGACACCCCCTGTTCATCCACCCCCGGATATCTACCCCAGTCAACTACCCCCTAGGACAATTACCCCCTAGGACAACTCCCCCGGACAACTACCCCCGGACGACTACCCCCGGACTACTAACCCTAGAAAACTACCCACTTCGACAACCATCCTCTAGGACCGCTACCCCCTCCCCGACAATTCTCCTAGAGGCTAGTTGTCTGGGGGTAGTTGTCCTAGGGGTAGTTGCCCTAGGGGGTAGTTGTCCTCGGGGGTAGTTGTCTGGGGGTAGTTGTCCTAGTGGTGTTGTCCTAGGAGGTAGTTAACTGGGGGTAATCATCCTAGAGGGTAGTTGCCCCGGGGTAGTCGTCCTAGAGGGTAGTTGTCCTAGGGGGGTGGTTACCCTAGGGATGGTTATCTGGATGGTGGTTGTCAAGGGGTTAGGTGTCCTAGAACATATATATATATATACTGCACTATATAGTAGGGTGATCACACTGCCTGTGCACACAGTCTGCCCCACGCACACACACACACACACACACGCACACACACATACACACACAACAGCAGTCAGTTGGTAGAAATAGCCATTTTCGTAAATTTATTTCAAAAATACTGAACAATAATTTTAAAAATTTTATTTCACATATCTTTCAAGCATACCTTTAACTACAATTCTGTGTAGTTTCATTGTTATAGGCATGTGGGAAATATGTTAAATTATTAATTAGAATATTGTCTTTTCAGCCATGTGTGACATGGCCCGCTGATCGCCTGTTGACTGTTATTCTGCGAGGTGAAAATGCACCTCAATGTATAAAACTCCCCTACAAAAATGCAATATCCTCATGTGTTTCACTCATTGAATCAATTTGTTGTTTACACTCAAGGTAGCCACAACTGGAATCACCAAACTTTGTTTTTCTCTGAAATTCAGTCCCTGTGGAATGTTATGGACTGTTGAATGGTTTCTCGGAAAATCGTCATAAATCCTCAAATCTGACATTATTTAAAAAGAAAACTATACTGTGATGTAGCTGAAAATCTGCAAATTCTTATCATATGATCGTTTTTTCTGAATAATTTGTGACACATATGAGGAAAAAAGCTGTAACGGTGATCCAAGTAATTTCTATCGCCATATTTTATTGGCATTGCAAAAATATTTGGAATTTAATGTTAATATTTGGTGTAAATATGATAAATAAATATATGATTTATAAAATGCCACAAAATGAACAGTTTGACTTTCCTATTTCGTCGAAATCTTGAATTTTCAGGAGAGCAAAAAAACCTTTCCTGTCTCAACAGATTTAGTGCTGTGACACCGTCTTTTGTGTGTAATTTGTGAAAAAAACCGAGACAGGAAGCGTTCCATGGATTTATCAGGTGGTGTCGTAGGCCATTAGGTACAAATTATGCAACAAAAAATCAAAATCTCAAAAAATTGAGATACGAGGTTTTGTCACCCACCAACGATATTTATAATTAGCTGAAATGACCTAATTTGCATATTTGATGAATATTCATAATTTCCTTTTCTTCAAAAAAATAAATATTTCCATACCTGTGTGATATACATAGGTTTCATTGATGTATCATGTTCGGTTATGATTCGATTACATATGCGCATATTAATTAGGCGGACTTAGTTATTTTCACAACTTTTTCATATCTGCAGATTCGCAAAAATAGCAAAAATTACTTATTTTGTTTGCTTCTGTTTTCAAAACGGTAATAGATATATGAATTTTCTTTTTTGTAGTTTTTACCACAAAGATGATATTTTAGTGTCTGATAATTTAATTTTTATTTGTGTCCGAGAAAGTGATGAATTAAGTTATCAACTTTGTCGAATTTTGCCGTTTTTGCCAATTTGACCATTTCTGGCAGGTTTTTCGGTAATTTTGCGATATCAAAAAAATTGTATAAAATCACAACGCATTGACCGATTTCAATTCTGCTTCTTTTTTTGTTGAACCTTTCATAAAGCTTGATCATTTGCAATCATCAAATAAAATGTGTTTGTTGTACTTATTTTTGGTGTGCTATACCTATATACAGTGCGTCTCAGAAAAAAACGAAACCGAGAATCATCGATGTTTTATCATAACTTTAATAGTCACAATCATAATTAATAAATGACACATATATGGAAAGCTTAGATCCTCCTCTTTAATTTGATGTAACTCATGATAAATTATGATGCATATTTCACGCATGAGTGATTAAAAGCAATTTGAAGAGAGGAAAACAAAAAGTCATTTGGCGGGCGGTATCTGAATTTTAAAGGGAAAATCTCATTTCTAGAAAGTTCAATTTCTGCCCTTCCATATGACATCTCAATTAGGGAAAAATGAGCGAGGAATAACAAAGTTCTGTTTGTTTAAAGTAATGCTTGCATTTCCATAATTTGATCAAACGGGTTCGTTTTCACTGGCTTCTTGCCGTTGCAACGAATGGAGTTGACAAAAGACTTAACTCCGTTTCGTTGACGATCAGCCATGCACAAAGAAGACGAAAGACCTGATGCATGGGAGTTAAGTCTTTTGTCAACTATGTTTGTTGCTACAGCAATCCCCCCCCCCCCCCCCTCCACTGAGCGAATTTTCGGCCAGCGTGATTTTCAAATTTTCGGGAGCAAAAATCTCATTCTCACTATTCGTTTGGCTCATGTTGAATGCAGGTAGCAGGAGCTATCTACGAGCACATGAGGAGGGGAATGCAGGTAGCAGCAGCTTTCTTCGAGCACATGAGAAGGGGAATGCGTTCAGAATTATGCGATGATGAAATCGAACCCGATCTTCTCCTAGTAGTTCCGATCCTACTCGAGTGTCCAGCCTTCGACAGACCGGATGAAGAGTGGGGTGGTCGTATCATCAAAGAAATGGCAGTAATCTTGACCTTGATGTATCAAACTTCGAAGAGAAACATCGCTGTGCTTGGTAATGACAAATCAAAAGTGGCTTGAAGCATAATGTTCACTTATATAGTAAGGCAAGCCCCTCCCCCTCCCCCTCCCCCTCCCCCTCCCCCTCCCCCCCCCCTGCCCCCTCCCCCCTCCCCCCCCCCCCCCCGCACTCAGTGTTATTTAGGGTACGCATATACATGTTCCCTCCCTTTGAAAGGACCCCTATTTCCGGTGTCTAAAGTCAATACGGGATTATTACGTACAATTACGAATATTTAGTCCTTATATTAGGGGTCTACTATTTCCAATTATCCAATTACTGCAGGTTAAAATACATTTCTCAATCGTGAATTTAAAGAAACTCAAAATAAATTGACTACAATAGTTGTGTTTGGACTGATTTAAAGCGTATCTGCCGTAGTTTACAGGAGGGATTAGACTGCCCTGCAAGGTCACTGGACAGGTGGTTATCTCATCAACTCAGCTCTCAGTTAACATAAGAAAAAGAGGATCATGGGGGACAAACGGTCACCGATTAGACATTGTTTGTTATATAGAGGGCGCAAGTAGCTACAAGTAGTGCAGTGGGCCTTTAAAGCACAGAATGAGTCTTGATAACAGAGACCAGGACCTTTAGACAAACTGTTTTAATTTCGCGTGCAAAAATTTACGGGAAAATGAATTTCTCAGTCGTAAATTTATAAAATTGACTTCAAGTGGTTGATTTTAGACTGATTTGAAGCATAGAATGAGTCTTGAATATTTAGATCATTGGACCATTCGATAAAATATTTTATTTTCCCTTGACAGAACGTTGGTGGGATAAGGATTCTGATCTTTTAGCCAGAGTGATCAAGGTCTTCGTACAGGCATTCAGGCATGAGCTGAAGTTTTATCTGGACAATAATGCGTCGAAACCACCTGATAATTACCCATACTTTGAGATATTGAGACTGGTTCGTATGTTTGGGAAACGGAAATGATTTAATTTTCAATTAATAACTGTTATTGGTTGTTCTGTCTGTCTGACTTCATGTTTGTTTTCATGCGACGCGTTGTCGTAATTTGAATATTCATAGTGTGAAATGCATTGTGATGTCGACCTACATCAAAAGATCGTAACAAAGTAGCGAATAATCTGATAATCTGAGGCATACTGTTGGGGATAGGTTGAACATTTAACCTGTCAACTCTTCCGGTCAGCAACCTTCACTGTTACCCTCTTGAGGTTTATTGTTTCACAGTCAGTGCAAAATGTAACACTCATTGATACGTGTAATCCTACCCTTGTAATAAGTTCATTTGTATATAAGAATAATTCATTTAAGGAAATTATTAGTGTTTGAAATATGAGATCACTAAGTCTATGTGCGTGTCTCTAATCGACAGTTTAGTCAGTGGTTGTGACGTTGTCACGGATAACTCTTCCGTTTGTCATGTACAAACATATAAATAATCTCAGTTTTTTTTCCTTGGTGTCTTCTTCCTTGGGACACTACTCAAAATATTTTATGGATAGCATATTATTATAAGTCCTCTAATGATGATAAACCCTCCTGAATCATACATTTTTGAAAACGTGAAATTTTAGTCATTTTGTGTGATTGAACAAAAAGGAAAGTTATTCGAAACTACATCCTCGAGACATTACTTTATTTATTTATTTCGGTTTAAAAAGACATATAAATATACATGATTCAAAGGTCCAAGGACCAAAACTGTTCATGTTTACAAATTATACAATACGGTTATAAATAAAGTAAATATACAATAGTGAGCCAAACGAAAGGTATGACAAGTACAATACGAAATAAAGATGACAAAAATAATTCAATTCCATCAATACAATACCAAAATAAACTAAGAGAAAGTAGGGTCAGGATCATCAAATTACTAAACTGATATATGGTAATGGTAGCAGATAAACAGACAAAAATAATGTTGAGCAACCAAACAATCAAAGAAAAAGGGGGAAAAATATTTTGAAGATAGGCAACGATAAAAGCCTTAAAACCTGAATTAACATAATTACGTTTGAGTTGATAATATAACCACACAGAAATATATAAATTACAAATTGGAATCGACTTTAAAAATTAGTTATACAATGCCATTATTAAAATATAACGTACACCAAATTGTGAATGTGTCAATTAAAAGATTCTGAGGAATAAGGCAAGAGGGAGAGAGAGATAGAGAGAAAGAGAGAGAAAGATGATAGAGATAGAGATAGATAGAGAGAGAGAGAGAGAGAGAGAGAGATTTTGAGTCAATTTGAAGAGCGCATATCTGTAGTGATTACAACTTTTAAAAATGCATAGCTTTCTCATTTTTGTCTAATTTCATTCAAACTTTTACCAGTCTATACTTTTCCGACTTGTCTACTTTCCTCGAGAGTACTTTGATATGAAGGTAGGATTTCCCTTTAATTACGTTTCTATGGAACTGCTCAATGCAAAATTGTCTCACTATAATGATGCAATGAGATTGAAAGACGTTTATGGATCATTTCACATACAGATCAATGAATCGCCTGGGTGCAAGGTCCGAGCGAATCAGTTTTACATCCTTCAATCAGGAGATAAAGAAACAAACAGGAAGATCGCGAATAATCTTCTTGAGTATCATCAACAGCAATTGCAACCCCATCTCCCGGTATTTATTTAGTCATCTTATGCCTCATATTTTCTTGAGAACATTACACTACACTACAAAAAAAAAACAATCATGAAATTATGCAGTAGGCTTACGGTTGCACCATGTGAGAGGTGGGGGTGATATAATTATGTTATCGACAATGTATCAAATCTGTATCAAGATTACTTGAACATTAATCACTTCATTCTAGATTATTCTAAAGAAACATAATTATGATGATTTTTAACCAAAAACAGGTTAACTCAAAGCCGGGGGTAGGGGTGAAATGTTCTTATCTCATCCTTGGATTTGAGATTATATTGACTCCCGCCATCGAGTTTTCTCTTCTCGTCCGCTTATGTAATAGAAAATATTTTTCCCTTTTCCCCCCTCTTCTCCCCCCCCCCCTCGTTTATTCAGGGTCCCCTTCCATTAGGTAACCTGCTTTTTCTACTGGATGTACCTCTGAAGTGGAAGATGCTGTGTATTGACTTTGAAGATGCATGTAAGGTATGTTTAAAGTTCTATTCATAGACATGGTGAGGTCATGGAAGCAGCAAAAAAAAATCTTCTCGATTTCTCGATAAATGAAAATTAGATGTGAATTTAAAGAAATTTCATACAATGGTCACTATCCATATTATTCTACTTTTCATAACCATAACTAATTTATTCAAAATGTCTTTATGAAAATGTGAGTAAAAGAGGAATTGGCAATTTCAGTTTTAATTTTATTTCTTGATCTGAAGGAACAAAAATGAAACCTGTCGTAGTGAAGAAGTGAACTCTCAATGATTTGTATTTAAAAAAAAATATATATATATAAAGGCGTGGTAAAGAATGTCACTTATACATGTAGTAAGTAATAAATATTTGTTTAATCAAAACAAAACCAGAATGTAGCTAAAACTTTCTCTTTGTGAATTAGTTTTCATTAATTCTTACTTTGTGGATAAATAACCCAAAATGAACTTACACGACTTAAAAATGTCGTTTTAGTCCATCTGATATTCAGATAACCCAAATTATATTTGTTCTATATCTTTCTGTGTATTTGCTTTCATTTTCTCTTGTTTGCGTGTGTGTTGAGACATTATTATAGTCTTACCAAATCGCTTATCTTTCTTACTTGAGTGATTGGACTTGCCAATAGTTGTTTGCATTATAAAACACGTTACGGAATACTGGCAAAAAAAATAACAAAAAAATTAAACTGTATTTTAGAAAAAAATGTATTTCAGCAAAACTGAGAAATATCAGCCTAAAGAGGGAGTTTTAAATAAAAAGATTTTCTGACCGACCGACCCATGTTTTTGGCACCTAAAGGGCAATACAACATCTTTTTTGTGAGGCCTTATCATTATGACCATCGATGGTTGCATGCATGGAAGGCTTATTTCGTTTCAAATATTTTTTTTTACCCATGAACCCCTCTCCAGCGCCATTTGGAGGAAGCTTTTCGGAATCTGACAATGAACCCAGCTGCATTAAACCTGAGAGTAGCACAGCTTCAATTCGAAATCGACAACGACAAAGAGAAGGTTGTTGAATCGGCGATCTCGGAGGTTAAAGGTAAAGATGAAACGTCTCTCTTGCTCCCGTTGGCGGTCCATTTCAAGGATAACGAATCTTGGGGTGTAGATGCTGGTGGCCCCATGAAGGTAAATCTGAACACCCTTTCACGAGATCTCAACTACTATCGAAAAATCAACCGAAGGCACTTTTAATCGTTTTGCGTGTCACCTATCGAACCGTGTAAAAAGGACAATGACGTATTGTGTCATCTGAAAATTATTGATATCGGACATACAATAAGGTATTTAAAGAGAAGGTTGAGTTCTGGGAAGAGGTGAACAAACATTTGTGAGCGTTATCATTCTTATTATGCAAATGTGGAAGAACATCAGATAAACCATGTTCCCTAAAAAACATGGCTCTTCAAATGCATTCATGTTATAAATATGGCATGTAACTTCGTACAAATCGGGACGGATTTTTAGGTCACGTGCTCGCGTAGTCCCATAACTATACATCTTTCTGTGTACAGTGCTTGTAACTTTACCAAGACTTTGCCAAATTTCTTATCATTTTGATGATTCCAAAACATTGCTATACACACAAATACTTATATGCTAGATGATCAACCTCTTCTGATCCATTCCACACCGTTTTTTCACAATGCAATCGTATGAACACAACTCAACTTTATCTTTAGGCTGCCCTTGAGTTGATTTTCGAAAATAGTGTTGCGGTCGTGTGAACATAACTTTATCTAGAACATGCAGACATGCTTAATTTCAAAGACGTAGGCCAACATTTATTCTGCGATGTCGTCTGAACAAAACGAAATATTTTAGTTGCTGTGACTTTAGGCTTTGGAGAAGGAAACAACACTGAAAATGCCTTAATTTATTGTTCATTAATCTGGATAATATTATAAAATATGATGGTCAAGTCGCTTTGTAACCGGTTTCCTCGGATTTAATAAGGCTAAACGAGACTTAATACAACTTCTACCGAAACCCTCGTTGTACTTTCAAATTAGTTATACTGTACGTGTGTTATTTTGATTTTTCTATATAAAATTCGAGATGAAGAACCTAAATTAACATTAAGATATTTCAATTTCAATATTACAATCTTTACTGGACCGTAATTTTTAAATTTAAGAAAACTAGTTTTAATTAATTGCTGTTTCCGATTTCGGATACTTTGGGATTGTTTAGATATTATGTTTAAATGTGTATTTTCCTTTTCATTTCTCTTAAAGGAATTCTTTTCCCGACTGTTCGAAGAGCTGTTCAATGTTGAGAAGCATTCCATCTTCAAGAAACTCAAGGATTCTCCTTCGTGTACGACATTGTGGTTTAACAAGGTTATTATTGAAATTAAATGTTCATCTCGGGAGTTGAGTACCCATTATTACTAATCTCAATATGTAAGTTGATTGTAGCTATTACTAGCATCAACATGCCGGAGGCAGGGAAACACGAAATCATTTGCCCGTCCTTTTATGTTTAAAATACGTGTTCTGTATAGAAACCTCCACATGTACATTAAACAATTTGCTTGATTTAATCTACAATTCCAACACTATATAAGTACCTATTTTGAACCCCCTCCCCCCCCCCCCATTTTTTTTTTGAAAGCCCTCCTTGGTTATCCCCCACATTTACTTCTGGGAACCTGTCGAAACCGTCGTTCGTTTATGAACGTATTGGTTTTCTAATCTGATTACTCGACCATGAGTAATCAGGACCTGTGGCCCAGTGTTCAGTGAGTGGGTTCGATACTCAAGCAGGCAAGCTAGTGTCCTAACGGGATCAATATATTGACTTTATAACCA